GTGAGTGCGTGTTTGTGTGTGTGTGTGTGTGTGTGTGTGTGTGTGTGAGCGCGTAAATGCGTGTGTTGCGTTTGTTACATTGTATGAATGCGTGTGTGCTTGTGTGAGGGGGTATGGAGGACACATTGGAGGCTAGTCTGTAAGACGAGGCAACAAAAAGAAAGAATAACGTATGAACGAAGTGAGGATAAGAGAAGAAAAAGAGGCCAAGAAAGAAAGATAGAAAAGAGAATAAAGACAAAAGAACAACAAAACAGAATTGGAAAAATGCAGAAAAGAAAAGGTTTAAAGGAAAATAGCAGAGATGAAAGCGAGAGAAAGAACACTGCCTGCAAAGCTTCTCGAATAATCTGCTCCATCCCATGAGCTACGACGGACATCTCGGAGAATCTAGTATAAAAGGCAGAAGAACAAGATTGATCGCTTATAAACTTTAATTAAAGTAATTGCTCTAAATCCACGGTTTGTACAAATACGAGAGATGGGAGGAGCGGACGTTGCGTTATCCACGCACTTTACTCAGAAAACCAGTACAGCACATTTTGTAATATATCATATTCGCAATTTGAAAATGTAGTTAAAGGATCATGCTTTTTAATTTCTGCTGCAACGCACACTTCCGTTCCAACAACAGTGTTCCTAATAATGGTCTCAGGAGTGGCTTACCAATGTTGGAGAAAGAGAAAAATTGCAACCCCTGTCGTTACTTAAGCCTTTCGCATATTATTTTGTTCGTGGATTGCACTACTAGATTCTCGTTGAATTAAGAATTAAACACCATTTTGTGCATGGATACGTGGTCGTATGTGTATGTTTATGTTTGTATTTGTTCATCTCTGTGTTTGTGTGTGTGTGTGTGTGTGTGTGTGTGTGTGTGTGTGTGTGTGTGTGTTTATCTGTTTATGTGTGTGTTTGTGAGCGCGTTTGTGTGTGAATTTGTGCGTTGGGCATGTGTGCATGCATCTGTTCTTCAAATTACAGAAACACAGTTGCCCATGCTTACAAAGATGTGGAAACCATTTTAAAAAGTACAATAAGCCGGTTTCCATCTACTATTACTACTAATTTCAAGAAACATTATAGCTCAATCATTATTTTCCTCATCCCACCTTTACCTCTTGTCTGTTTGTTTTTTAATATAAAGAAGAATATCGACACGATAATGGCTATCTCGGACAGTGGAAAAAAGTAAGACAGATAATCAGAAACAAGCTAAGGAACCGGTACCTTCATCCCACCTCCTGTCTGTTTGTCTGGTGAACTCCAAGAAAATAAAAACAAGTTCTCTGGATAAACCCAAGCTCCTCACCAAAAGAAAATAATAATGGCGGCTGCGCATCGATCTCCTGGGGCGGTAGCGAGAAATCTTCGAGAATTACAGCAGATCTCAGGACCCCGTGAGGTATCTGTGGCGTGGCCGCTTCCGCCTGAGTGGGACTTTCCAACCCCGACAGAGATGGACCTTCCTGAGTGACCTCTGACCCACGTAATGCAGGCTGGTCATCGAATATCCCAGCCGGAATCTAGAGGTCGATGATAAAAAATTGATATCAAAGTAAACTATTCAAAAGAAGGACGGGTAAAGGAGAAACATAGTATCAAGAAGTAAGATAAATGAAAGGGGTCTAGTGTTCAAGGATTTAAGATTAATGTTTAAAACAGTGTTTGCCAGCCTGGGTGGTATCGCCCACTACAGAGCGAGTTGGTAATTTTACTGGGCAGTGGGGATCACCCAGGTTGGAAGAGGTATTTGATGCCACGCTTGGAAATACATGTACAGGCGGGAAGTATAAAAGTCTTAGTCCCATATAGGTGGATAAAGAGGGCGTTGGTGATAAAAAGGCTGATAAGCGCTGATCTAAAACAACAGGCTAAGATGAAGAGCAGATACAATAATAAAATGGATACGAGAAGTGAGAGAAAGAATGAAAAAGAGTAGAGTATATGGAACACACAGCTGTAGCAATGCAGTACTTCTATCAATGTTTACAACAACTGATAACTACTTACAAAAAGTTACAAAAAGAATTATAAATACAATTCAAGGAGAAAACGAAGTCCTGCAACATAACGATACAGTATTAACCTAAATTTTGTATCTTTCTTTTATAAGATAAAAATTCCTCTTTAAAATGAATATAAACATAAATATGTCTCAGCTTTAAACTACTCTCGACAAAACCGCTCGGTTTATTCGGGTATTTGCATATAATCACTATATAATTTAATAATGAGGTTGTTTTAGCTAGAGGGTGGTTGTGGAGATAAGCTCCCACTTCCGTAAAATGCTCCCAACTGGTATGCGTCCAGATAGCCTCTGACAACTGAAGTTCAACTTCTGGCCTTCTCGCGGCTGAACTGTTACCACTGACAGGAGAAGGGGCAAAGGCGAGTCGCTGGCGCCTCAAAACGTGCTGCTTCGGGTATACGGAGCTCGACAGCCTGGGCTGGCAGTTTGTCTAGGGGAAGTAAAAACCTGATTTAAAACCTCCGATACCTTGCGGCCATATTCATTAAGGAAAAGGAAGTAAATTTAGAAAGAAAATCTAGAGTGTAGTCCCCAAGGTGGTAGGGAGCTCAGTCGTGCTTCCCTTCTGGCAACTCCTGCAGCCATATCGACTCCAAATGGAATGCACAGAATTCCACTGGACCGCGCAGGTAACGGCGAGGAGGGGGGGGGGGTCTGTCGTCTGGGCAGCACTGGACCTCCATATACCTCTGCCCAGGCCTGCGCCCTGGAGAGGCCACTCCAGTCTCATCAAACATTAAAGCACAACACGGTTGCCAGCAGTATACGGGTTATAAGTCCTTGCTCGATCGGCGTAGAGTTGGACGCCACGGGCTGTATTCATCAGTGGGAGGGAATTTGTTCCTATAGGTCAACTACCGCCCACCCCAAGCCGGGCAGCCCTAGCTAGCTAAGGTGTTGACTCGTCAAGGTCTGCCTTGGAGATTTGAGAGTTGCTAAAAAATGTGTCCCTGGACAAAGAAATCGATACGCGCATAGCCAAAGCTACAGCTGTTCTCTCAAAACTTGACAAGAAAGTGTGGAACAGCAGTAGTTTGACCCTGGAAACAAAACTTAGGGTCTACGAAGCGTCTTTCCTGAGCACACTCCTCTACGGGAACCTGGACAACTTACACCAATCAGGAAAACCGCCTAGAAAGTTTCCTTCTCCTTTGTTAACGCAGAATCCTGGGCATTTCTTGGAGGGACATGGTTACAAATACATCTGTCCTTAAAGGCTGGTTGTCTCAGCTTGCACTTCCTACTCTGCCAGCGTCGGCTTCGATGGGTCGGCCACATACATCGCATGGATGACAGACGCATTCCCAAAGACGTACTGTACGGCAAACTGGCCGCAGGACATCGTCGCTAAGGGCGCCCAGTACTGCACTACAAAGACGTTTGTAAGGGCGACTTGACTTGAAAACAACAAGTATAGATGCAGACCACTGGGAAGCGTCTGCTGCGGATCGTGGAGTATGGAAGGGCTTCGTAGTCAAGAAGTACGCCAAGGCGAAATGACAAGACAGGAGCAGGGAATGGACAGAAGAAGCCGCAGAAAATAGAGGCAGCAAAATTGAGCCTTCGACCCGCCTTCAGCCTCCATCTGCAACAACTGTGGCAGAGACTGTCACGCTCGAATCTGACTTTTGAGCCGCTCCAGACCATGTTTTCGACAGAAGTGACGTACAGGCGCAGCCATTGTCTCCCGAGACGGAAGGAGCCGACGACGGTATATAATTTACCAGTACAGATAGATAGTCCCGGGACATCAATTTGCGTTCCTATCCCATAAATGACATGCCAGTTCTTCTAATTCTTTTAATGCCTCCTCAACCATTTACATGTACGTCTTTTGGACAGGAAATTGACGTCTGTATTATTGCATCAGCTAGAGAGACAGTCATCAATTTTCCGACAAAAGTTTTAGCGATAAGGGTTGCTCTTTCACAACTTAATGGATTTAGTAGCAAAACTTAAGTATGAGACACATGGCAAATCGTTGGAAACAGCGAGCTGCGATTATAATCATCAGGGTCGTTCACATATTATTATTTTGTTGGTCACATTTTCGGATTTAAGTGACCCTCGATTGGTCAGGAATACACTTCTACTTTTTTTTGGTTGCATCGCACTTGACTACTGATATCTATCATAATACCTGACGGTCCTGCTTTATTCCCCTGCTGGTCCTTACATAGATTAGGTATATAATATATCTAAAAAATAGACATATATAGGCATACACTAATTGACTTGTTCCTAATACATGAATTTGTTGACGCTTGTTTGTCTTCTGGTTTCTCACTTTGAAAGCGTGCTCAAAGCTATTCTAATCTTTTAATAATCCACTGTATTAACTGGTTGCATGTATGCTCGTACTCATTCGAGTCGTCTAGTTTCCCCTGCACTTTCAACATCACGGGCCACCTTGATAAGGAGTTGAAAAACTAACACCGTAATTAATATTGTCCTTAACTTCAGTTCAGCTTTCTCTCCCCCCCACTCTCTCTCTCTCTCTCTCTCTCTCTCTCTCTCTCTCTCTCTCTCTCTCTCTCTCTCTCTCTCTCTCTCTCTTATGGTTATATTATGCACTCATATATGTCAACCTTGATATAGCTGTTATCATAAAAATGAGTGGAATTGGAAGTAAACTCCCCCCCCCCCTCCTACCCGACTGAACCAAATCCCCCGATTGCTGCGCCGTTCGCATCCCTACAGAAATGTTCATCTCTGTTGGTAACACCCTAGTGAATTAATGATTTGGATAACTATTGGGTCTATTGAACTTCGTTCAACTAATGGGATTCATTACGACAGGCAATGACAACTGCCCTAGTTTTAATGGGCTTTGCCTGTAGTGTGGACTCCGCCAGCAGTGGTCAGTTCGGGCGTCATGCTGAGCTGCCGTGCGGTAAGCAGAAGGCACAGAGCGTGCCGTTCTCCTAATATTATGCTTGCCTATTTTCACAAGATCAATGAAACGACTGATGCCCAGCCAGGCTGTGGGTGTTTTCTGTATTAGTGAAGGTTTCATTATGTACTAAAACCGAAAAGAGTCATTCTGAATCACTTTCGATGGATAATGCATAAGCACTCCTACAATTATGTTCACCATAAAGAAAGGGAGCATGAGTGTGCAAACGTGGCATGGGTTACGCTTCCTTTTCAACACGTTTTACGAGAGGCGGACCTCCAGACGACCTCCGATAATTATGACTGAGCGAATAGGTCGGAGAGATTTTAGGTATACCGTACCGAACAAACCTAGTTTAAGAATGCCCCAGTGTGGATTCGAAGTGGTGTTCATTGCAATTGTGCATGGAACCAACTTAGTTAATACCTAGTGCGAACAGCCAATCGAATTGAGTGGGGACCAACCAGATTTGTTTTGCTCCGTGGAGGGGGAAAAGCTACAATGTTGGCACAATACGACCAATTCGACTCCCGACCTTGAAAAACAAACACACGTTTGATTTTGAAGGTCTCAGTCGAATATTATCGAATTCGGTCGAAGTGTGCTAAAATGGTAACTTTTGCCTCTTTATGGAACAAAATCTGACTGGCTCTTACTCAATCAAATGTACTGAGACGCAGTGGAATTGTAAAGAATGAAAAAGCACGGGTGAGATAAAAATTATCATCTGGCTTCCGAAGTGACAAGAGCCAAATTCGTACATTACGGCAAGGAAGTTCCCGAGCCTGGCTGTAAATACGTGGTTTGTCGTTCAGACTCTTTGCAAGACAACCTCGGTGAAAACTGTCGAGCCATGCCTCTTTGGTAGAAACCTCTCTACAGGAATCGAAGACTGGCTCGCTCCTCTGAAACTGCGCTGAAGAGATAAAAAGATGACCAAGGCGAACATGGTATTAATGAAGTGTCTCACTTCTGGTACACTATACAAGCTTCTTGGCCTGTTGGTAATTACTGCGGTGGTGATGGAGAGGATGGGCAGGGGGGACAGGGGTTGAGAGGCAATAGAGAGCAAGAAAATGAGTGTGTATGTGTGGGTGTGGGTGTGTGTGTGTGTGTGTGTGTGTGTGC